CATTAAATCTTTGTGTTTTCTTCTGGATTTGTGTCAACTCTCGTTTCTTTGCCCTAAATTTCTCAACGGTATTCGTTCTATGAAACATTGGAGCATAGAAAAATCCACTCACTTTTATATTTTCAGTAGTAAATCAGATAGCAACACAATAATCATCATAATTGTACCTTTGTTAACTTACCTTATCAACATCTGGTCGCTCCTCACGATCCACCTGTTAAGTTCAAAATCAGAGAGTTCCATTAATTAATAATAGCTTCCAGCAGGTGAATTATAAATTTAAGAGAAAATTAACTTTAGATGCAGTGAAATAGGACCAAAGAAAGAATTTTATCAAATTTATAATTATGGAATAAGAATGAGTACAAAATCTACCTTGATGCTAACAAACCACTCATTTAGCATTCTTGCAATTTCATCATTCTCAAATGATTCCACTTCCATAACATGACACCTGATCATAACAAAATTACGAGGAAAAATCAATATTCTTACCATGAGAAGCCTTAGTCACTGTGAGAGTCCAAGTGACATTTAGGAAGAATATGAAACTAAAACAAAATAAAGTAATGCAAATCTGTCCAAGTTTGTCGCTTAAATAAAAAAATAATAAATAATGTGGCGTGCATAAAACCAATTATATGTACTTACAAATTGTCAGCTAAACATCAGCACATAAGTATCAATACTATCAGTATGCTATGACATTCCACTGCTTGGTTGCAATACAATAAATTATTCTAAAATAGATTGATAGATGAACAATCATGGAAGAAATGAAGAAGTTGAAGAACTCACCAGTGGCATGTGCTATATCCGACTTTATAAACATTTGCCATTGATATCGCACGTAGAAAATCAACCCAGAAAAATCACAAAATTACAAAAGTATGAAAGTAGTTCCAGAAAGGAGAATTGATATAGCAAGCAGAACTACGAACTACAAAGTTTACTAGAAATGCTAAAGAATGCATACTTGATAGAAAAATAGGAACAGCTCTTTTCCGAGCTTTCTCAAAAGCTTCATCCCCCCATGGGTACCAGTCAACCTTCACAAAGTAAAATACTATAAGATGCTAGCAATCATGGGATATATGTTCAAAGGAACACACCAGCACAAATTATCTATTTTCATCTAAATAAAATATGTCAGGTAACCAATACAAACCTTCACTAACCCATAAGTCTCTACGTTCAAAGGAATTTTACCGTGAAACAATAAGAGATAAGCAAATAAGCTCCAAGGAAAAAGAATATTTTGATGCAATTCCATAACCATGCTATGCAACTTCGTAAAGTGCTAAGAAAAAAACAATGATATCGGAGTTAATCCAAGCCACAATAGAATTGCAAATATTACTGTTGAAATTCAAAAGGTTTGCAAACAAAGACTCTTGACAATAGGGAAGGGAACATAACAAAACCCAAATATCCGTAGGACCGCGACATGGTATGGTATAACAATAGGGAAGGGAACATAACAAAACCCAAATATCCAATTGGGCCTAAGCCGGACAACAGGTAGGACTGCGACATGGTATGGTATAGGGTATAATTGGCGGCAAGTGGTAGGACAGTTGAAAGGTGGTGGGGGGTGAATAGGTCGGAACAGTAAAGGAGGGGGTAGGTTGGAGCATTGAGGTGGCAGGAAGGCTGCAGTAGGCAGGTGGCAGGAAGGCTGGAGGAGGAAAGCGACGGGAAGGCTATAGCAGGCACATGACGGGAAAGGTTTGAACGTCAGGAACAGCTGACCAAAAAAGCAAAAGTGGGCTGTTTGGGGGTTGGTAATGACTGGGAGGAGGAGGCTGGAAATAGATGGCAGTAAACCTGCTGTTGGATGGGAGAAACGGTGACTAGAGGAAGGCTAGAGGTGGGAAGAAAATTTGGCGCCTGGAATAGTAGAGTGCAGGTTGTAGGCGGCAGCAAGAAAGGGTAGGAGGGAGGTTGTGGAGGAGGAGAAAGTTGAGCATAATCACCAACTCGGAGCCGGATACAGTCAGGGCGCCACTCGTCCTCAGATACAACCCTAAGAGGGAAAATTGGGGACGCCGATGACTGTCTTGATAGAAAACACAGCCAAAACTCAACCCTGATATAAGGAAAATACATATATATATAGTAGATAACTAGAAGGAGGAGGCCCCTCCCCTTGAGTAGCAGCCTTAGCCCATAAACATGGACTGGTTGGCACTGCTCCCCTCTTGGCT